GTCTAAGTACCAACTTCGTCTTAAATCGGTAACTTTGATTGTAGCTTTAATCGCAGTTAGCCGCTGAACGCGGATACCAGTACGCGGATAAAAGTAGAAGTCTTTTTACGTGAGCGTTCTGTATACCCTGTAATTTTTCGACGCTACTCTAAGACATCCGTCTTCCTATTTAATTGATCATTAAGTATCAGAATGAATTTTGGTCAGTCAGTGAGGACTGACCGAAACCCGTTCTGTTCACACTGCACCATTGAGAGTTATCTTTATGGCTCATTCATAGTCTAATCTAACAGATCAACATTGTGCTCTGGAGATCGACTCTCCCGGCATCTGCTGCCGAAGAAGCACGCTTTGATATCAGGTGGCAGCTGAATTGTCGGCAAGCATACTCCGCGTTGCACAATGTTAGTGCTCTAATTCGAGCGCTTTAGCAGGTTCCGCCCGCTAACAGGACCGGTGCGAAGACCATCGTTACTTCGGACTCACTGCCGCCCCCACTTCTGCCGTCGTGATCGTCGTCAGGAACGGCCGATTCTGCGTCCAGTAGCAATGACGCGGTGCTCCACTGCGTTCTGTCTGATCGAGTGAGGACAATCAGATGCTTGTTCTTTCCGCGATTACCGCGTCAAACGTACGCTTTCGATGTTGTTGTATAATATACAACACGTAATACAGCGTAAATCATTTTCTCGCATTGCCTTTGTCTTTTTGGTGCGATGCATCGGCAGACAATCCCTCGAAACGTTATTCGTTGCTACTGTAATTGTTTGACGAATTTTTATTATGTTACGGTATCAGTTATTCCTGACTGATGCGATCGCTCCTGCAGCCGCTGCTGCTGGCCTTGTTGTCATTAGTGGACTCGCCATCAGCTCAGAGAGATTTACATTGTGTTATTTGTCAAGGTCCTTGCCGGTGTATTTCGACCAGATAGTTAAAAACAGAGACTATTCATTGAGTTCCGGGTCTGAAATTACCAGTCTGTCACTCATCACAACTAACTGGACCGACTTGAATACGGCAGCGGGTGTCGTCAGACGGTCAAAACACTTGAATGAGCGTAGTCTCATTGAAGAAATAATAGCTCGGTAGATCGTTAGGGGTTATGTCTAAGTCGAAAAGGATTCGCATCGAATATGAAGAAAATGTTGAAGATGTTAATGGCTGAAGTTCGTTTCCGTTACCAGAAATGAGGTCGCCTGCGTCAACATGCAAGAGATCCATGATTCGAGACGTAAAGAGGGGAGAATCTACTTATTATATACATAGTATATTGCGCCATAGGTTAAAAGTAATGAAAATAGCAGTGGAAATAAAAAGAAGGTAGGTTTTTGTTATGGATACCCACCGTTTGACGCATCCATCATTCCTCTTCATGTGTGGGCGCTTCATCATAAACGCGATTTTGGATTCAAGATTCATCGACGGAACGCTTGTGTTACAATAAAAGACGAGCTGACACAGGCATATTTTACGCCCAAAGCGTTCATATGGACGAGTCAACGACTACAAACCTTCAAAATGACAGACGTCGTTGTGATATTCCCATTGAAATACCTGTGAAAAGGTCCGTTTCACGCAATATATTATATCGTCTGATGATGAATATCGTACATAATCGCATCAATTTGAGACCCTCAAAACAAATAGTGCCACTTTGTACTGCATTCAACATTCTTAAATGGGCATAAAGTGGTGAATATCCTTAAGTTACCCAGAGGTCCTCAGGTAGTCCTTCGGTGCATACACGCAATATGCCACACGTCATGCCCGAACCCATTCAGTCCACTCCTCTGGTGACAAAAGCTACGCATAGCGTAAGAGTCCCGTGTGCAAGCATTACACATTCGCTAATTTAAAACGCGGGTCCTATTGACGAATATGCTGCTGGTTCGCCAATGAAAAACGTCAAGATGCTACATATAGATATATGTGTGAGTGTGTGTATTTGTAGGCACGTTCTGTCTTTTGTTATCAGCGGCCTGAAGTTCCCTATTAGCACGCTACTTCACCACCTTCTCTTTACCATGACGATGATCCATATTCAAGTACAATCTCGAAGATAGGTCATGATATCTTTGTACGACCCTTCGATCTATTTCAGCTTGGAAAAGGCGTGTCGATTTCCGAGAGACTACATTAATGCCATCATTAATTTAGAGTATTTTCGTAAATTTGGTAACAGTGATAATAACTGTAGCCTTTTTGAATTAATTAAGAAATTAAATTTTGAAAGATCATGGGTATTTCTGTTGTCCAAAGAAACGTAGTCATTGCACGTTGTTTTCCCTAATTTCTCCTATAAGTTCGAAAAAAGACATTCGTAGACATATAAGAACATTCTGGTGAAAATGGCACTTCACACATATGTATATATCCTATAGAGCCTTTTATTGTTAAAGCCTGCAGTAACGTCCGTTCCAAGAACCTAATTGGACTGGCAAATGGTTGCAGGGGCAATGATGAACACCACTCCGTATCCTAAAAGCTTCTATATTTGTCCCCAAATTGCTATTCGATCGCTTTCACCCTATCTTAAACATTCATTAATCTTTACCGTGTACAAGATGCACGTTCGTGCTCCGTCATCTCAGATCTTAGTGCACGATTTTCGCGGTAGTGTTTGAGAGCGAATTCGGATAAAGCAAACGTCAACCGGGGACAAATCTCACTTCCGTTTACGGTTGGTCCGTGCGTAGGTTTCCGGAAGCGAACGGCCTTGTCGCCGCTGCCTTTGGCCTTTACTTAGCTCTTTCACGTTGGCTCGATAGTAGTAGGTTGTTACACTAGTAGCAGATCTTCTAATTAATTGAAATTCTTGCTCCACTTCCAATATTGTTTATACATAAACTATTAGCTTTTGTATTGTCTAAAGTTTCTTTCTAGGTCATTTTCGCTCAACTTCGAGAATCCTGCGAAGGGACGCATAAGAAAATGATAGAAAGCACATCGGGACAAATTAATTGCTAAAAAACCAACGGAGTGCTCCAGCAAGTGTTAAGTACAAATTGAAGGAGTTAAGCTTACCCTGACGACAAAAAAGACGATCATGGTCGACAGGAACTCCACCAGATATTACCACAATGGGCAGCGGCGATGTATATATATTTATCTAGGCAAACCTCTAAGAAGTCCTGCTGCAGGGATCCAGCGTGAAATAGTTTAACACAGCTACCAATCAAAATGGTTGTGGTTCAGTAAATAATATGCCACTGTCGATTATCATAATATTATTATCAAAATATGGCATGCTTCTCACTCAGTGGTTGGGAAGATACGTGAATCTGTACTATAAATTGGTCATTTACTCTGGGTGATCGCCTTTGAGTGATATTTCAGGTATTTAACAGACAAATCGAAAAAGCTTGATCGTGGTATGATCTGTACGATGGTTTTACAAGACGGCATTTTGCTCATCACATGAAGATAATTCTTCTTCAATATACGGAAGAATGCCACGATGCCCTACGACGAACAACGTTATGCACGAGTATGGATGGCTAGATCGTTTTTAGCATTGGACTCACTGTACATAGACATGGCTGGGCGTTAGAAAATGGCCCATTTAACAACGTTATTTCAGTCGAACTATCGTAGGTGATAATGACGAGGTCGTCAACACTCGATCACGAACCGAATCTCATTATATCGAATTGGCGTAGGATCAACTTAAAATGTCTGGTCGACGTTTAGACTGCTACCTGGCTGTTGGGTACTCGCTGGAACAAATTAATCATTCTTAAAGCAGCGTGGACACGCCTGCCGCGCTTCCCTTATTGAGGAAGTTTTGTATTAGTGCATCTACAAAAGTATACAGGGCCACAGGCGGAACAGCTTCAAGCGTCTCTTAGAAGGCTGACAAGGTCTCACTTGGTATAGTGCGTTTTGGTTTAAGTTTCCCATAGATATAAATGTTTTGCTACCATATATATACACCATACATAGATAGATGGAAATCCAAGCCCTCAAACTTTGTACCGATCATCTTTGCTAGTATCGTAAGAACGGTGATAGGTTCACGCTTATCTCAGGACTCAATTACGTACCTCTGCTTTAATTCGAACATGCGTCGAATATCAACCTGAGTTACTATTGGATTTCTTTGCGTAATGGCTTATTCTCTGATGACGTTTTCTACTGTGCCTTTTAATGGGCACTATTATTTTAATATAGTTTATTTTTAACTTATACCAAGTGAATTACCAATTGTTATGATTGCTGCCGCTATAAATTTGGTGACCAGCGCATTTGATATCATAGGGAAACTGTCCCATAGACGTAAGAGTGCCCCTCCAGCCAATGTTGAGTGGTTAAACATTTCTGCTAGTTCGGCTTTCAGCCTTCTCAATTTAACATTCACTTTAGCTGGTAGTAACCGGCAACGTTATATGTATAGGCTAAGAACACAGTATACACAACAATAGTGTTTGGTGCCGTCTTGCATCATACCGTTTGTACGAGCCTTGTTGAGCTTATGGAACTAATTTAAGAGATTTTTGTTAAATGTCCTAAGTACGATATCAGAGGCAATGGCCGGTCTTCTATCAACGTCTATCTATCATTATTTCCTCGTATCTGGAGCAGGATCATATCGTCAAGCTTGTGGAAACCTGCTTCCCTGCAGAGCCTATTATGGAAGCCATGCACGACAAAACGAACGACGATATATCGGTTTAGCCGGTTCGACCGTTTCCACTCGTGGTTCCTCATAGCGCCCGAAGCAAAGAAATCCCTATCGATCTCCGCGAATCTTACCTCCCAGTTTCTTAGGCTGGTCCTGAAAGCCTCCAAAATCGCGTATCACAAATGATCAGACCCTATCGTCGGAGGTGGTCAGGGGTGGATGTGAGCTAGCAGGAATACAGGGGCCGAACTCACGTCGGCAACGCACAAGTTTCATTTTGGTGACAAGAAAATCACAAAGAACTTATCTAACGTATCACGGCGAACAGGTGTGTATATATATATATATGTATATATATATATATATATGCATTTACCTGGGTAGTGGGTAAATAAAGGTTCTGTATCTTCTTCTTGGTATCACACTCCCTGAGAACTTCGTTGACCGTTCGATGCTCAATCGATTCCGCAAGTTTCACTAACACCGTTTTTTTTCCTTTTCACTTTTTTGGCTTGTCCTCCTACGGGCGTCACAACGCAACCCCATTCGGTTATGTCACGAAGTCCTAAAGGCGTAATATTTCGAGTAGTAGCAACAGCATAAATCACTTTTTCGAAGTCTATCCCAAGTGACCACTCCTAACCCCGACCAGTATTGCGGCGACAAATAGTCGTTGATGAAGCACTCGTTGATGCCGTCGTTGTTTTCGTTGCTGTTATTGTTGACGTTTCAACGTCTTACTGCCGGTCAATACGATCGAGTTACAGTGGCCGAAATACTAGGCTCCCCTCCATTCGGTTGTACATCACCGGCAGATGTAGCTGTCCGCCTCCGCCAGTTTTGCCGCTTGAGAAGCGTTGTCGTTTAAGATAAAAACGAAAATGTTTCGTTAACGTTAACTGGTATTTCGTGCTTCGTTTCGACAAACAACGTCTTGACGCTATACTGCTTGCGGCCGCGCTTCTCAAGCTCTAGCTGCCGCTTGACAATGTTGTTTTTTAATAGCATTGGCAAGTATCTGTGAGTGTACTCTTAAATTATTATAGCATGATCAAATTCCTTCAATTGAGCAGCTCGCTTTCTATGAGATAGCCTGAATCTGTACTGTGGCATAACTTGGACCTGTCACCCGCTTGTCATTTGTTTACATGCAATTTGGGCAATATAAACCCAGTCACCGCGAGTTATAAGCAGAAATCGCCCTAAAACTCAGGGTTGTACTGATATTGTTACGTCTGTATATATGCACGCCGCTACAGACGCCCTTTGTCGAATCTTTCGCTGAATTCGTTCACTAGTTTCTCTGTTTACTCCGATCGATTCCGCTCTGCGAATTTTCGGCCTTTTGAGGCAACCCTTAATCCACGGAACACTTTCTGGCCTCGTTCTTCGGCTGTCTATTTCTAGAGGACACACGGTCAGGTATATATTTGATACACAGTTCTTTATTTTTTCGTACCTTTTTTGGCCAATAGCTTCACAGAAACTAACGACAAATATGTTGCACCCAGCGCAACTGCCATACACACATCAGTAACCACCCTATTCTGCCCACTGCACAACACTATCCTAAACTCGATCGCACAGCGGAAGGCGACACACTGCTTCGGCAATGGCAAGTCGCCAACTGACAACGGCCAGACAGACTGGGCGAACCGAAAACGTTAGAACGACGACAGCAGTAGCTGAAGCAGCCGCCATTAAACACAGCAATGGCAGCGTTGGCGTCGGCCGCCGCGATGATTCCGACAGCGTCGCTAGCAGCGGCAGTAGTAGCAGAAGGCACCAGCAGAAGCGAACGTCGTCAATGCTCATAAGAGCAGAATAACCACGGCAGCGTTCGTAGCGTCATGTCGGCGCTGAGCGGTAACCACCCAATAGAGCAGCAGCGGCGACGATCGCGAAGCAGTGGAGCATCAACCCGCAGTTTGGCTTACCGGCAGAGATCCGATCCGACGCGACTGTAACTGTTGGTCGGTGTTTGTAGCTCTGGCGGATAAGGCGAGCGACGATCTGAAGCCCGACATCTGTCGGATTTGTCGTCTTTCCTTTTTCTCTCTCTCCCCACGTTCTCTGCTAACGCCGACAGCGGGTGGTGCCACGGCGATGACGGTGAACACAGCCTCCGTTACCAGCGGCACTATGACGACCAGCGTAGGGCAGTACATGAGCGAGTGGCAACAAGAAACGCGTAGAGAACTTATTATGGGTGGTGTACTGCCAGCGGAATCCTGATAACAACGACTGTAGCGACGGCAGACCGCGGACCTTAGCTGCTGTGGCCTGTTTTTACGTCGGTCCTACCTATAGTCAATGTGTTTTGCTAGGAATTTGTTGCTGTTGCCCCTGCCAGCAGCTTCGCTCCTTGGTACCTGCATGAGAATGGCTTGGGCTGTGCAGTTTACGTGAGCCGCCCCCGCGCGTTTGCCCACTAAACTTAAAGACATGATATGCGGTTTAAATCCGCTCATACGTGCGCCTGTTGTTGTTTGGTGGTGATGGGGTATCGATCTGATGCTGTTCCTAATGCAGATGCTGGTAAAACAGCCGGTGGATGTTGTGCTCGATGCGGTTGCTCTTCAACGCTTCGCTGTCTCTGCCTTTGATTCTATGTTACAGCGTACGGCTAGGAGGGCTAGGCCAGAGTGTTGACTGTGGCGAAGGGGCCATACAAAGACAAACTGCCTTTTTCCACTGCTAGTCTACTCTAGACTTCAATTCTTGCTAGTGCTATTTATTCGAGTTACAGCGCTAACATTGCTGGTGCCGTAGCAGCAGCATCGGCAGTTCCTACAACCCGTTCTCTGAGCTGTAGCGCACTATCTCTGACGTCGTCTTGCCGCTCATTGAAAAAATCAGCCTGCGTTCGGAACGCGGCCATGGATGCAAGCCCGGCGATGGCCGTCCAGACTAAGCATCGCCGCTGTAGTTGCTAACAGTTGTCGTTGCAGTTAGTCGTGCTCGATCGCTATGCTACCACAACAAACGGCAAACATCAGTTCCCGCTATGGTTGTGGTACGAAAAGGAGTATAAACCAACAACGGCGACGTTCAATGCAATTCCTATTGCCGAAGCCGGCTCTCTTCGCTGGCGGTCGAGCAGCGACAGACAATTTGGATGGTTAGATCAAAATGGGAAGGTAAACATGGTATGATAGTTAGCACTGCTTTTACTACATGAACTACTGGTCATTCGGTTGCAGCAGTAATAAGTGATGAAGCTAGATCGACGGTCATAGCAGCACACGCACGATCGCCGAATGGCTCCAGATGACGGGTGGATTCAACGACGCGACCGCACTGGCAACATCATGGACAGCGTCGTCGAATCCAGAGATGATGGCTAAACATCTCTTCTATTTCGTTCTCGCCTCCCTTTCTCCTGAACCTGTACTATTCGACAGAAAATTCCTGGAACAACCTGATCCTTCTGAAATGTAGTCGTTTAACGTTGTTGTGGCGTCCGTTCATGTGTTCCAGTCACTGCGCTCTATTGGCACCGCTGTTTTTGCTGGCTGATGTCTTGCGCAGACGGCTGTCGGGAGGTACTCCGCTGCCTAGAACCTCTCAACGCTATTATAAGTCATATAGCAGCGACGGCTCCAGCAGCCATGAGCATAGAACGGGCGGTTGTGGACGGAAACGGGATACAATATTTACTTTTAACACAAACCACATTGTTTATGTCGCGAAAGCGAACGATGAAAAGCAGGAATAACTGAACTAAAAGTCGACGGGCAGACGATTAGGTCATTGAAGAATGAAATGCGTGCATATGGACCACCATCAGCAGTGTACTAATGACAGTCAGTCATAAGTCAGACACTCTTCTATACTTGCCGAAGTGGTGCCTATGTTCATAATGATATTTCTGGACTAATCCGCCATGTTTTTGGCACTATCGATAACGTTTTCGTGGTGGAAGGATGGCGTCAAAGATTGTTGTTGTCTACTCAATTATTTTTTTATGGAGAAAATCACTTGATACTCACAAAGGTCGATGTCTATGTGTTGTTTTATGCACACACACACACACACACACACATATATAAATGGTGTATAAAAACGTTACAGTTTCTGTGTTATTAAAATCAGTAGGGACTGACTCAAGCTAAAATACATACGTAATGCTTGGAATGCTTGAATATCGATCGTACTTTCATACATGATTTTTCGCACACTTGTCGCCACTTGTCACTCCTACCATCGGATATCTATTTCTGCGCAAAATCGAACACGATAAATAATTAACGTTGTCTGAGACACCGGATACGCCTATTTACCATCTACAGTTACTCGTATACCCCCCACGTCGCGGGTGATTGCTGATCAACAGTATTAAATCCTATTCAACGCGATTTGAAAATAGATTTCGGCAACGACAGTAGCTGGCACAGCCGAAAAATAAGGGCAAGATACGACGCGACCCTATAACGGAAATGTTGGTGAAGACGCTTCAATGGGTGGCATCGACAGATGCCACTCCAAAAATTGTCAACAAACAAAATCTATTCCCAACATGGAAACTTTGCAGGCAGACATTACCCTGTCAAACGATGCTGGGTCAAGCAGCTTTCACAGGAAAGTAGAAGTTCGGGTATAGGTAGGATCGTGTCAGGTGGACACTTCCACTTCGATAAATCGTCTTGGCCTTTATTTGCAAGTTATCTTTTCAGATTTAGGGAACATGTTAGTGGATCCAGTCTAAACGCGGGATGTGAATATGGAGTCACCTTGAAAAGAACGCCTACATTCGCTAAGGCAAGTTCGTCCTTAGCCATATGGACACATTCCTTATCAAGAGCTAATTGTACAACAGCTGCAATTTTTATAGGCACAATATGAAGCGATGTAAAAGATCTAAACGTAAGACACTATTGTCTTCTCGGCTGCATTGTATATATACGTAAGTATTTCTTTTGGACTTATGATAAACTGATCCTATGATATATCAAGTATAATAGAATTGTTACATCCTCCAATTTGTGTACAGAAAATATTCATCCCAAACAGCCTTAGATTCGTACGAACTCGTTACGTACATTTATCGGTCCCTTGGGGGTCCATTCGATAAGCAACAAGTGATTTGGGATGCCCCCCACGATCTTCACGATGATCATAAACATCTCAACTGTGACAGTATCATGAATCTAAAATTGAAATGTGATCAAATACTAGAAATCGACTGCCCTTTAATTTATATATAAACGTGTAAGAATATACTAGCTCGAAAGTCAAATAATGCCAAAAGTACCAAGTAAGCACCTTATAAAAAAGAAAAAAATATCTTTTTTAGGATTTTAATTGAATAACAAAATATAAATACAATTCGTGTTAGTATCGATCGGCCTATTTCACGTCCGTCTGACCCCGCCACTTTGCTAGCCCTGTGCGCCATTTATAATTAGACCACAACAAAATTATGCTAAGCTTTCTATAACTTTCAGTGTCATAAGTACGTGAGAGAGGGTGGTCTGTGGGTCGAAGCGGGTCTTCGCTATGGGCTTTGTTCGGATCGCTTTGGCCATCGACCGAATTTCGTTTTCCGGACCGAATACCACTGAGTGAATGAAAGACAACGCCGGAGCGGCGTAAGAGGTGGAAGTCAAGGCGGGATGTCGGCAGTCGGAACGCCATTTGAGGTTATCTGGATCAGTGCAACCGAATAAGAAGGAACGGTGAAGCAAATTTGTGGCTGGCGCGTACAGTGCACACGAATCTGCTATTGGCCGCTTTAGCAGATAGGTGCAGTCTATATATATATATATATATATATATATATAGGAAGCGCGTTAGAGCGTGTGTATACGCGTCTATGCGCACGGGTGTACGTAAATTCGTATCAAGAAGAATATCGAGTGACGCGGTACCTGCTAGTTGATGCTCCGTCACATCGAACGTGGCTGCTGCTGTCGTCGACACTGCACCGACGTCGCGTAGCCTCGCTACGTTTTGGTACGTCCGTATGTTTTGTCGGGGTCGGCGTTTGTCATTTTGAACTCGCACGGGCCTCCTTGTATATATATATATATATATATATATATATATATATATATGTATATGTATATATACGACTGGTTAACCTGGAGCAATGCCATTCCATAGAAATGGGACAATTTGGGGCGTGGGAGGAACCGCAATCGACCGCGTCGAACGACGAGACCTCGACGAGTGCGGTCTAACTCTACTCGTGCGCTTGTGAAGCTTCGGTCAACCCATCTGTCTCGCTTCCGCCACAAGAAGACATGGCAGTTGAATGTGACTATAGTGGCTACTGGAAGAATTCGCCGTTTGTCCCCGTAGTCCTGAGAACGCCACAAAGTTCACTTCGCTGGGCAGCACAATATCCTGATCTCCCATATAGGCTAGAAGGGGGACTGGAACAGACAAGGAATGAAGTATCAAGTACTGCTTAAGAATTCTGCTAAAAAATAAAAGTCTCGTTGAAGACGACGAATCTTCATTCGCTATTGTTACCACTTGAATAGGTGTTCACCTTATCAGCTGTCGGTCATATTTACGTTTCTTCGATTTTTTTTTAAATTTATCCGCACGCTGAAAATATGCAGTAGGTTTGTGACGAGGTCGTATCATATTGTTGTTTTTTTTTTATAGACAAAAGCTGAAAGAGGCTAGACATCTGGTGAAAATGGCAACACGAGCAATATCAACAACAAGAGGCAACAACAATAGCAAGAACTGTATTTGCCACACGTACATTTAACTTAATCAATATTCGGTTCCGTGCTAGTATCGAATCATAGTCTTTTCGAACGCGACCGTAGAATTACCTTTATGTAGCAGTAGTAGTAATAGTGTACCTAGTTGCTATTATCTGACCTTTTCGTATCCACGATGTTTCATTCAACATCGTATGGTACGTCCACTCTGGGATCAATCTGTTATAAATCGCTTATTTTCTCAGCAAAGCTAAGGGCTAGGTTAAATTTTGCTATCTACTTTGTGTAGACGGATTAGCTTCATATAACCCGGGTAGCCCAATATCACCGCCATACCTCTTCCGCCAAACTTTGGTTCACATATTGACTATCG